AGAAACATAGATGCAACAGCTAGCAAACGAGGCAGTTGGAGATTTTTTATAAAATTAAAATTGCCCTATTAAACAGTAGAATCGTCCATCCTGACTTTTTGTGAGCATATTGCACATACAAATTTTGAATTTAAACCTAGAAATCAGTGACTTGTAGAAATATTTGCAAGCGCAGTGGCGGCTCAATGCGTACGCGACGTGAGAAACCACCCACGGCCTAGTGGGTTTGTAGGGTCTCGCACAGTAACATTTTGAGTGCAGACAATCTTCAGGCCTTTAACAACAAAAGCTTTTGATATGGTCAGTATGGGTGCTTAATAATGGCCCCCCAAAAAATGATCAAACTTAAATCTGATGAAAACAGCCCAGCAAACACCAGTAAAGCGGAAATCAAATGATGCAAATGGAACTGGATTGGGTAGACCATGTTGAGGGATTAAGGAAAATGTTACAAAGCAGGCCCTAAACTGGAACTCACGCCCTAAACTGGAACTCACGCCCTAAACTGGAACTCACGCCCTAAACTGGAACTCACGCCCTAAACTGGAACTCACGTCCTAAACTGGAACTCACGCCCTAAACTGGAACTCACGCCCTAAACTGGAACTCACGCCCTAAACTGGAACTCACGCCCTAAACTGGAACTCACGCCCTAAACTGGAACTCACGCCCTAAACTGGAACTCACACGGGAAGATAAAGGCTGTGAGTCCAAAGTAAACATGAAAGAGAGCAACATAAATAAAAGAAAGCAAGGTGGACATGGACCCTAGAGACATTGCCAGTGAACAGTGTACAATGGCGAAGTACTGATGCGGCCCTATGCTTCATTTGTCTCTAAAGGGATAAATCAAGTGAATGCATGAAATAATAATTTTTTTTTAAATAACACGTCACATCCAGCCATACTAGGTGATTGCGATTCGCTTTTACACAAAATGTCAGTTTAGAATTTATCCTATCTACGGTATGTGATGTTATCCCATATTAAAACGTGTCTTTCTGTACAAGTCCGTTTAATTCAATATTTTTGAACAGTGACGCCCGACCTTATTCGACCTGTGGGCCCTTTTAATTTCCGACACTCGTGTCATGAGCCATATGAACGAAAGTTACAGAAACGAAATGAAATTGACCTGAAACTATTTGATTAGAAGCCCGCGGAACTAATACTTACATTAATTAATGGGATATTTCACGTTCCCTTTGGACCCGGTCAGTATGGAAGAGAGGCGTGTGCTGACGTGTGGGCAGCCCAGCACTCTCAAATTTACCGCCCAGGCTTTCCCCCAGCAATGGAGAGGTCACTCCATCTCTGACAAGAAGTTGCAAAGGGAAAAGATCGTCTCTCGAGACGTAAAATGCCACAGATTTCACGTTCATCCTTTTTTTTTTATACTCGCAATTTTTTTTTCTTTTTTGTCGCAATTTTGTCGAGTCACTAATGCATATACATTACACAATATCAATAGCTCGTTGCCGTGTTCAGGCCTTCTATAACTATTGGTCTATGATAGAGTCGTAACATACGGCAAAAACACATGCTGGTCCTAGTGGCTACTCACTAAAGGCAAAAATAAACTTTCTTTATTGTTTGTCAGATGCTGTTAAGTCTCATATTCTGAATCACCGTGACATGGTGAAGAGGGCAGTGACAGAAAAGTCAGGGTTCACCGCCGAGGAGGCTACGGGAATAGTGGATCGACACAACGAATTGAGAACCTCTGAACAAAGCTCTGACATGTTGAACATCGTAAGCTAGTTTGTGTGTTTTGATGTCTGTGATTGTCAATGACTGTGTGTGTATGCATTTTGTGTATTTATGTCTGTGTGTGTGTGTGTGTGTGTGTGTATCTATGCATGAGTGTGCTTATGTCTGTGTTTGTGTGTCAATAACTGCGAGTCTGTGTGTGTGTCAATGTGACTGTTTGTATGCCATTGTGTGTTCATGTCCGTGTGCATGTGTGTGAATTACTGCGTATGTATGCATGTGTGTATTTGTGTGTGTGAGTTTTTGTGGGTAAATGGCTATGCGAGTATGTATAAGTGTTTATGTCTGCGTGTGTGTGTGTGTGTGAATGACTGCGTATATGCATGTGTGTGTGTTGATGATTTCATTAATATTAACGATATATATAAACACAAATATGAGACTAAATTATTTAAAACTACAAACACGACGATGCGCATAGCCCCCCTCTCTCATTCTCTTCTTAGTCTCTATACCTCCCCTTCTTTCTCTTATAAACCATACATACAACGCTTGAATATTGACCTACTTTCTGTATATAGAGCGTAGTTTGAAGCCTTAGTAAATCCTTTCCGTTGAAAGACTTGTAACTTTATAAATCAATCATTACAAAGATAACTCAAAACTTTTTCCATGCATAGACCTGGAACTCAGTTCTAGAGACCAGCTCTCAAACACACGCAGCTAAATGTAACTTCTCACACAGCAGTGACGCTTACAGATCAAATGTGGGAGAATTTTCTTACGCTGGAGAAAATCTTTACGCATCATCAGGTGAGACTATTGTGGTGTTTTACGCCTTCTTTGATCAGTATGCGGATGTACTAATCATAATACATGCGTTGTGAAAGTGGAAATATACAGTGACTTGAATCGAAACCAAATCGCTAAAGAAGGTCTGAACATTGACTTGCAACGTCACAACCTATGGGCAGTTTAGACCGATAACCCGTTGCCACGTCACTGGTCTGTATTGAGGCCTTCCACAATGAATTGCCTCGCTAGAATGCAGTATTACGTACTGTGGACACAGATACTGTGAGTGCAATGCCATATTAGGTACCTAAGGTCAGACACAATGATGTCACGTGCTGTATGAGTCAAAGGTTACCAGTGCAATGCAAACAGGATAGTTTTTTTTTTTTTTTTGGTTGTTTTTTACAAAGCTTAGGCCTATATCAACTATGGTACAAATCTTGCAAGCGTTAATGCTCCCATTTTCCTTACTCGGATCAAGTTGAAACTTTGTACAGTTCTTCATTGGTAAATACCTTTTAAAAAATCAACAGATTAGTTAATTTATTAGTGCTAATCATTTTGTTTCTTCATAAAAAGGATATAAATCTTGCAGTATTGAGAAACATTCCTTTGAATGTGGTGTACGCCACCAACCGAAGCGTATTACAACCGTGCCGATCGGTGTGGCGGAAGAGATGGGTAGGCGGAGACTATCTTGCAGGTGTGATGCCATTGGGTCATCAGATTTAATTACTTAAAATACCAAAATCATTGTAATCATTGACGACCAGTGGCGTAGCTAGGGTGGGGGGGGGGGCTTCAAAATGTAAAAGGGCCCCCATTGGAGTGGGAGGCCCTAAATGAGTGTCCGAAATTAGTTTTTACAATAACATTTTGCCATTTTATCATGTCATGATGTCAAAATGCAGGGGCCACTAGAGAGGTCAAGCTCCTTGGGAACCCTGAATCCCAATCAACGCCACTGTTGACGACTATGTAATATTAAGTATGTTTTGTCCCAAATAGTAGCCACATCACCTTCTTAAGTAACAAAAATGGTTGTAAAATGGTTTACATGTTTCGGATGTTCCTTCAGAGTTGAAGATAATTACTTCCTAGTCCAAACCTCCCGCAGGACGACGGGGGATGGGAGCGGGCAGGGTTTGAACCCAGGACCATCGATAAATCTGAACGACAGTCCAGCGTGCAAAAGCACGACCAGGCAGCTATCTTTACAGTGGTCAGTGACTAGACTATGTCATACATACATGACAGTCAAGTAATAAAATGAGTCTACAACGCAATGACTGAGGGTAACATAAAAAAAAGTAGTAAAGTATCCCTTTCAGACGTTGCGATCTATAAGGCAGGTGATATTAAGGTCATCTGTTTTTTGACCAACGGTTAACGAGCAGGGTGTCATGTGAACAGCACAAAAACCAACCGCCTTTACTTTCCCTAACTTAAGTCAGGTTCCCATTGTCAGGGTGGGATTTCAGATTAGTTAGGGTATGATTTTATGGTCCCGTATCCCCAACCTGAACAGAGTAACGCAAGACATAAAGGTAATAGCATGTAAAATAGACACATTGAATAAAAGTTACTCAACTGAACATTTAGGGAATACCAACAGTTGTTTAACGTGAACGATATTAATGCTAACGTAAGTTAATGTACATTAGTTAACAACAAGGTTGTAAGTTTAACAATTTAATGAATGTATGGAATATGATGACATGAGTGATGCATAAAAGTCAATAGTATTTACAAAGGAAACACAACGTATACATATTATGCAACGAAATATATCACACCTTCAACTCGGTGCCATAGTTCAATCACGACCCAGCCTACACTCTATGCCTTAGATGCACGGCCATATCAAACAACACGGTCAAACAAGCTTGACTCCAACAGAGTCCCAAGCCTGCGTCCCTATTAAAGAAAATACATATTCTCTGAGCTCGCCGTCCACACGATCGTAGGAGCAACGAATTTCGAGCTACACCACGAAGACTAATAAAGTAAATAACTGACTGACCCAATACTGGGTAAAGAAAACCACACCGAGAACTCCATCTCAAAGGAAGAAAGAGAGCAATGACACCAATATAGCGCATCCTTAGAAACTAAAACTAACAAAACCTTAAAAGAAAATACCAAGCAAGATGCGCACGAAACCCATTAGAGTTGAGTAGACTCAGGGTCACCCAAAAGATCACGAAACTAAAACCCCAGTCTTCACTGGGATTCACACCCAGAACCACAGGTTCGGAAGCCAGGTGCTTAACCAGTCAGCCACAGCGCCCCTCGACAGTAAAATAATAGACTTTAAAGCAGCACTCGTGCTGTTTGACACGAAGCAGATGTACCGCAAAGAAACAAAAAAAGAAAAATGTTATTGATGGTTGCCTGGTCGTCTGGTAATGTTTGTATAATGTTTTACATATTTCGGATGTTCCTTCAGAGTTGAAGATAATTTACTTCCTAGTCCAAACCTCCCGCAGGACGACGTTGAGTGGCAGCGGGCAGAGTTTGAACCCGGGACCACCAATAAGTCCGAACGACAGTCCAGCGCGCAAACCACACGACCAGGCAGCCATGGACTTTCGCTCGATGGTTTACGATGTTCCCTGGTTCGAACCCCGCCCACCGCCACCAACCGCAATCGCCGCCGTGTTAAGTGAGGTTTGAGCTAGGATGTAAAGATGTTAGAATGTGAAGGAACATTCATAATGTGTCAAACAAATCACATACATTGAGAGAGACCTCTTTTCCTACAGGGACTTCTTTAAATGTGACAGTTATAGTGGACTACTGGTACTCTGAGAAATCCGACTACAATTATGACAACAATACCTGTACTAAAGTCTGTGGCCATTATACTCAAGTAAGTTTTGACCTTTGACACGCTGACTTTTCAAACTTTTAAGAAGTCTTTAGATTCAGGTAAAGTTTCAGAGTATGGACGCTCCGGCAAAGAAGCCATTTGATTGTTTTAATTTGTTGACAAATTTCATTTTCATTGGGTTTTTTAAACTGCTTAGAATCTATTACTAAATCAGTGGATTGACCAAACTGGAATCTAAATATTGAAAGTGGAGCAGATATTATTAGTATTATTAGTAAAAGTTAAGTATTTCTTTCTGACATTCTGACATTTATAGAGCCGATGATCTATATCTATGGTCAAAGGTTAACAAAGGTGTCATGTGACCACCACAGCGACCAACAGCTTTACTATCTCCAACTAATGTCAGGTACTCATAACGGGTCGTCACCCACATGTTGAGAACCGCTGGAGTAGATGATTTCAAGCGAGGAGGTTTAGCAAAGTTCCTAGTCGTTTCTATTTCACTAGACACTTTCTCAAATATTTCATCACTGTGTCTCTTACAGGTTGTTTGGGCCAACTCTACGGCTATCGGTTGTGGAGTCCAGTTCTGTCCAGTACTAGCCAGTTCGTCAATGAACAGTTACTTTGTCGTCTGCCAGTATGGGCCAGGGTACTGACCAGTCTTTGTATACAAATAGTGACATAAATATGTTTGCCACGTAGTACCCTAAATTATTTAACAAAATATAACCAAAATAACACATGTAGTGTTTTAGTCGAATGATGCTTCATCTACGGCCCGCGGGCCACATCCTGTGGTGTTATTCGGCCCTTGAAATCTTTGCACGCTATTAACGTCGCAGAAACTTGGTTTCATCTCTCTCCACTATTATATGGCCCCAGTGCAAAAAAAAAAATTTGAGCAACACTATATTAATCGCTAATAATTAGTATCTTTTAACAAAGTTTTTAAAAGTATTTTTTAAAGTATTTTAAAAAGTTTTTTGTTGATTAATCCAATCGTGCGCACGTTTTGCTTCAAGATCTATTTATATTTATTATGCACTTTTTACAGAGGTAATGTTAACAATCTGAGACCGTATACAAAAGGTAAAGTATATTTTAATATATTGTCAATTAAATCTGTAATCAATATTTGAACATTTTGCAAAACAAAAAGAATGTGAAGCAGTGGCGTAGCAACCACGGCGCGAAAGGGTTCAATAAACCCGGGCGCAAAACCATTCAGGGCCCACAGCCCTTGACGTAACAACCATGGCAAGTGAAGGTTTCAATGCGTTTGGGCCCATAGCTCGTGACCGATTGGGGCCCACATGACCCTTTAGGGATGACACTTTGTTCTTGTATAAAAGCCAGTTTAAAACTACTACTAGAATGTCTTTTGGTAAATAAGTAAATATACAGACTACTCGATTATTTGTCACCTGCGAAATTTTTTTTTTTTTTTTTGGTTGGGGGGGGGGGGGGCTACCAATATATAATATTCTTGAACCCGGATCCATTGGTATCTTGCTACTCCACTGATCTGAAGTGTTTTTTAAATAATTTTTTTATGAACTTAATATAACTTAATGTAAGACAATTTAAAAAAAAACGAAACATACTAAACAGAATGATGAAGATTCCCGTCAAAAATTTATTCTGTTAACCCTTAAATCCTTTTTTATTTTTAAATTAGTGTTATTTGCTTAGCTTCGACTACTGCTAGTAATGCTACTGTGACTATTGCCTCAGGTGCACTAACAGACGCTACCACTACAACTACCTCTGCTACTATGGGGACTGCGGCCACCGCCAAATCTGGCTTCAACGCAACGGAAGTGAGTGGAATAGTGAGCCGACACAACAAGTTAAGGGCTAATGAACCAAGTACTGACATGTTAAACATGGTACGTCACAGGTTATGGGCGAGGGAGGTGTTATGCAGTGCGCATGTATGTGTTTCTATGGTGACGGTGGGAAGACGATAGCGATTGGTTTCGATTAATGCAACATAGGTGGCATTGCGCGTCATTTGGTCTTAGTTAGGAGAGACAACTCCAGACACAATATTTTGTTTGAAGAAATGCACTCCCCCCAATGCTATTGAACGTGTGTGGGTTAGGGTTAGGGGGGGAGGGGAGGCGTCTTTTATAGCACGTCGACCGCGAACTTGGTGTTTGAATATCAGCACCGTTTTATAATGTAGAAGCCACGATGCCCTGAATGCAAACAAAAAAATCAATGTTTTTTAACCAATAGATTGACATGTCTCTGATGTTCTACAAAAATGGACTGTTGTCTAAGACTTAATGCTGTCACCCTGACATGTGACATACTTTTGTCCAAGGGTAATGGCAAATACATTAATATTTGACTTTGAGCAGAACAAGTAGATAATACTAGCCTTAATTAAGGACCAGGGGTAATAAAATATGTATATACAAATTTACTAATGCATGACAAAAAGAAAAAAAAAATCTCTCTTGCATAACAAGTTTCAATTAAGTCGTGATCATAGTAGCTCATGCCAGGGCCGAATTTAAGGTTGTGAGCAGGATTTTTGTGAATGGAGGTCCTACGCTCTTTTAAGTGCAAAATGCATTAAATATAATTATGTTTATCTCTAAAAGCATGCACATCTTTATTAAAAGAATGTAATACAGATTTGTAAATTTAATCTCATTTCCTTCACTTGCTCGCTCTCTCTCTCTCTTTCTCTCGCTCGCTCTCTCTCTTTCTCTCGCTCGCTCTCTCTCTCTTTCTCTCGCTCGCTCTCTCTCTCTTTCTCTCGCTCGCTCTCTCTTTCTCTCACTCTTTCTCTTTCTCTCGCTCGCTCTCTCTCTCTTTCTTTCGCTCTCTCTCTTTCTCTTTCTCTCTCACTCTATCGCTTTCCCATTCAGTATGCAACGCTAAACTGCTGTTGACGCCGTTAACTTGTAGCACCAAACTTCTGGTAGACAACTAAAACGCTGTAGGTTTATTGTGTTTTAACTTTCAGTATACTCACAATAAAAACACGTCTTTACACTCTGGCTTCCTGGTGCCGCTTCTCTTGCACCATTCTACAAGACTAACATAACATTAATGCTTTACCAACAACTAACAATAAATGCTACCTTTTCGTATCACCTAGGACACACACACTGACACACTCAATAACACTAAACCCGGCCCTAATTCACATTATGTTCAAACTTCGAAAGTTTATTTTTCGTTTTCAAAGTCACTGTTGTATTCTAACATAGACTTGGAACACAGCTCTAGAGAGCAATGCTCAGAGACACGCCTCTAGATGTAACTTCTCACACAGCAGTGGAGCTAACAGAACAAATGTGGGAGAGTTTTCTTATGCTGGAGAGAATCTCTACGCCTCATCAGGTAAAATAAGTGTGGGCGAGTTTTCTTATGCTGGAGAGAATCTCTACGCCTCATCATGTAAAATAAGTGTGGGAGAGTTTTCTTATGCAGGAGAGAATCTCTACGCCTCATCAGGTAAAATAAGTGTGGGAGAGTTTTCTTATGCAGGAGAGAATCTCTACGCCTCATCAGGTAAAATAAGTGTGGGAGAGTTTTCTTATGCTGGAGAGAATCTCTACGCCTCATCAGGTAAAATAAGTGTGGGAGAGTTTTCTTATGCAGGAGAGAATCTCTACGCCTCATCAGGTAAAATAAGTGTGGGAGAGTTTTCTTATGCTGGAGAGAATCTCTACGCCTCATCATGTAAAATAAGTGTGGGAGAGTTTTCTTATGCTGGAGAGAATCTCTACGCCTCATCATGTAAAATAAGTGTGGGAGAGTTTTCTTATGCAGGAGAGAATCTCTACGCCTCATCAGGTAAAATAAGTGTGGGAGAGTTTTCTTATGCAGGAGAGAATCTCTACGCCTCATCAGGTAAAATAAGTGTGGGAGAGTTTTCTTATGCTGGAGAGAATCTCTACGCCTCATCATGTAAAATAAGTGTGGGAGAGTTTTCTTATGCTGGAGAGAATCTCTACGCCTCATCATGTAAAATAAGTGTGGGAGAGCTTTCTTATGCAGGAGAGAATCTCTACGCCTCATCAGGTAAAACAAGTGGAATGGTTCTAAATGCTGTGATAACTTGTCTTCAGATGGGTGCAAGAATAAAATTACTCACTGAAAATCTAAAGGGAATTCTTTAAGGCATATTGTCTAGTCAGTTTGTTGTCAGTATGTTGTCAATATCTTGTCAGTTTGTTGTCAGAATGTTGTCAGTCAATATCTTGTCTGTGTGTTGTCAGTATGTTGTCAATATCTTGTCAGTTTGTTGTCAGAATGTTGTCAGTCAATATCTTGTCTGTGTGTTGTCAGTATGTTGTCAATATCTTGTCAGTATCTTCTTTCTGTGTTGACAGTGTGTGTCAGTATGTTATCAATATCTTGTCTGTGTGTTGTCAGTATGTTGTCAGTATTTGGCTGTGTTGTTATTAGGTTGTCAGCTTGTTGTCAGTATGGTGTCAGCTTGTTATCAGCATCTTTGGAAGAACAGAGTTTACAGGTGAAGAGGTGAACTCTTGCTCTACTCTACATCAGATGCTTGCCAATAGTTACATCTACAATCTGTGGCTCATGTGTATTTCTTCAGTGTCATGTCACCTCATTTGGCTTTGGTATTAAAATCCTCCAGCGGTCTAGCCTTTTAGCCGTAGCCCTAACGCGATCCAATTTTGTGCTTCCCAATCTGAACAAATGCATTATACAACGTTGACTGTGTGTGTACTTATCTTC